TATCATTACTGATACCATTATTATTATTATTATTATCATTATTTTCCTCTCCTCTACATCTTCTTGTTATTTTGATTTGGTATACATGACGAAATAATTGTTTTTTTAATAAATTTGATTTTAGGAAAGTTTTGGAAAGTACGAGAGAATTTTTTTTTTTCATATTTGTTTCGGCTTTGATTTATTTGTAAATCTGTCAGTACTCCTTATTGTTGTCATATAAAGCTATTTTTTTGTAGCTGTACAGAAACGGTTTCTGATGAACAATTAATTAAAAATGATGAATAAATAAGAGCATTATTAGAGCGTGTAGCCGTTTAAAGGACAAATCATTACAAAATCACAGCAGTGAATGATGTAACTTACGACTGTTTCAGCAATAGTTGTAAAACAGTTTTTTGAGTGTGGTAGATCTACCTAATGATGGCACAGAAACTTCCGTACACTGTAATTCTACAACAAAAATTCGATGCATTTTTTTTGTCATAACTTTACGCTTCTCATACACTCAAAAAATTATTTGAGTTATATTTTTATTTTATTAAAAGTAATAATAAATTGAACAACAAAATCTTCAACTGTATCAATATCTGCAAAATATTTTATCATTAGTCGCTTTTTGGGCAGCAGATGAACAAGTTTACGGAAACTGTGAATTATCAGAATCGCTGTCAGTGAAACTACTTTTACTAAAAAAAAAGAACGAAAACCTGTCTAATTATTATGTTTGATGTGCACTAATCTTTTATTCATTTTCTTTTCTGCAAGCACGGTGGATCTTTACAGTCTGAAATTCCTGTATGATAACCTTCTTTATCTGTTCATTTTTCATCTGTATGTTATTGTCTGGTTATTTTTGAATCTTCTCTATCTTAAGTATTTTTACTTAAATTAACTTCTGTCACATTTTAATTCCGCAGGAATTAGGAAAAATGGTAAATAATAAATCGTCTGAATACGAAAGTATAAATAGAGAAAAACTGAGGTAGACAATCAACAAATAATTTTTTAAAATAAATATAGATTGCAAGCAGCTTTCATAATCAGACTCTGGTAAAGCTGTCAAACATTACTGGTTTCTGACACATATGAGTTTCTCAGAGACTCTTTTTCGACTGCAGAAGCCAGTGCAGATGCAACAAGTATAATAAGGAATATGAAACAGGAAATAGCCAAGCAGAGAGTGATATCTGAAATCATAACTGGTAAGTATTTGAACTAGCTTCGCCACTAACATTTATATATTACATCCAGCAGTGACAATATCGGCTGTTTTAGCTAAGCGATTAAACTCATGTTGAATTCCAGATGCGAAGACATTAAAGTCTTTGAAGTATTTTTTAGTAAAAAATTATTTTTGTTGATGTCTGAGGATTAATCATTTATCTACCAATAATTTTCCAATGTTGCCCTCTCGGAACCGCCGTTGCATAAACGACAGGAGCACTTACCTCTCTCCTAACAAGTTTTTCATTAGAATTGCTTTGAAGGCGCCGGGATATTAGCTGATCCTAATTTTTTCGCTCTCTTATTTATGAAAATTTGGCACGTTGTTTTGTGCTCTTATTGCCTCTTGGCAAGCAGTACCTCTCCAAAGAAAACTTTAATAGATCAAAGGAATATTAATTATAGTTCTTACACACTTCTGTAGTGCTGCACTCACTTTCTGTTCTGTATTTAATAATGATGCTATCAGTCACTGTATTAAATTCGTATATGCAAGCAGATGCAGCGTCTAACTCGTATGACAAGATAATATTTAATTTTAGAATTAGAAAACTAAATGTATTTGAGAAATGAAATATCAACACACTATGTAAAAACTGCGTGGCAGCATCATTTTCTTCGTCAGAGTCCATTTCATTAGTATAGTACGTCTGAAACGTTAATCTTATCACTGAAAGTCTAGCAACAAAGTCGAAGAAAATTTGCGGTGAGAGGTGAAAAACTAAAGCATTAGATTATATTTTATGTAGGTTGTTATGTATAATCTGCTCTAAAAATTAAATTAACAACTGCGTTTGTTGGGTTACAAAAGCAAGCTGCTGTAAGGAGATGCATAGATTGTTGTTATTATGCTAGAAACAGTATCAGCAAAGTTGACGTTAAAAACCATTATCAAATCTACTTCAGATACCCTTTCATATATTCAAATTGAGGCTGACATATTTTGTCTGTGCCTCTCGCAAGTGACTTAACAAATAAAACATTTTGTATTTTTACGGTCACCTTCTCAAAAGAGCGCTGCCTTACCTCCGATAAGATAAAGAAGAAAGATAAGAAAAAGATTTTTGTCGAATTTTAAGATTTAGCTAACTTACATAAATATTATAAGCTTTTCTGCCTCCTCTTGTTTCGTCTTTTATCTTTTTTAGTGTATCATATTTCTGTTCTTTTTCCGCAGAAGCTGCTAGAATCATTTGCTCATAAGCCTTATAATGAACTTTGAATTTACAAATATATGTAACGACAGGTTCATTACACGCTCGTCGTACCACTTCTTCTAAAATACATAGTCTACTTATAAACAATTATTGCTACAAGCCGATCCTGCAAAAAAAATCATCAAATTTTGATTTAAAATTAACTTTGAAAGAAGTATTTTTCTTAATTATTAGATCTTAGATCAACTTTATTTCCTCTCTTAATAAACATCGTTACTCCTTCCTAGATGATATCTTTGCTCGATTTTTTACTGTACTTGTTTTCTATAAACTTATAACCAAATAAACTCTTCCCGGCAGGATAAATTTTTTGTGCTGTGATAGGTTTGTAACTAAAAATTTTTGTCTAGGACTTTAAACTTGCTTGACAAAACTTTAGAAAATATTGACGAAGAGTAAGTAGTTCAGCAAAAATAAAGTCAGAAAGAGGAAGAAACGAGTTGATTTATCCAAATTATATAAGTTGATTAACTAATAAGTAAATTACATTACCATTTAAAAATGCAGTTTTGTTATACGAAAAAACAATCGAAAAGCAGTCTCCTTGCCCTTCCTGCTCATTTTCTTTTATCTTCTCGCTTATAAACGAAGTATCTGAGGCATCAAAAAATGTCAGTATGTCTCTGAATTTCAGTCCCAAAATCTCCTCCTGTATGTGTTCAACTTCTTCTTCTGGTGCTTCTCCAAATAAACCTAAATTTTATACTTATTATGTAAGTAAATGGCAAAAAAAAAGAGTATGTTTGAGAAATTAAGCGTACAGTCTGCATTTTATTGTTTCGCTAAATTTTCCTTATTTTTAAGGATTCTTATCAATATTTGAATCAAAAGGATTGCCAGATCGTCATTATTTTACCGGTACTTAAGCCTTTATAACAGTTCCACTAAAAAGTGTGTCACAAAAAACAATAATTCCTACCACGTAAAAGATTATATTCACGCATATTTTCGCACGATAATAGATGAGCAAAACTTATTTCATTGCAGTTTTCCTCGGCTTCAACAATGTCGTCTGCAACTGGCTACGAAAATTACTTCATCAAGTTTGTGGTTACTTTAGCAGAAAAAATAATTTTCTGTAATATTTGTGAAGTTCTTCAAAGCAAGTTGAAATTTTTACAGTGAAAGGTGTGAGTAAAACAAGGTTTTGTTCATAAAATCTCTTATATATTGCATGTTTTTATGCTAAAGAAAGTGAATTATTTTAACTCTGAAAAATAAATTAATAAAGTGTCGTACGCCTAACTATTACAATAGTTATAATAATTACTAAGAATCCTAAATCAACTGCGTCTAGGCGAAAATTTCCATAAATAACCAATTTATTAAAATCCTTTAATTGCGCAGTTAGACGATAGTCCATAACGTGCTTGAAGCTTGAGAACCACTAAAAAAATAATGAATTAAAAATTACATCTGCTACAAGTGCCTCTCTCCTAACTAAAAAACCTAAAAGATTATTACGATTATAAGTGCAAATTGTTAATTAAACTGTGTTTTAAAACACAGAATAAACACAATCAAGTTCTTACTATCTAAAACTTTTATTAGGGTAAACTACGCAAAAACTAATACATTGGAATATGTCTCCAGTTAATTCTCTAGTTCTCCATCTTTTTTAAAAGACGTTTTCTTCTCTAATAAAACTGGGTGACAAGCAGAAACGATTAAGTTTTTTGACAATAGCGGAACTCTACCTACATTATGACAGACTCATTTCTGGAATAATGCATATTACCCACTACTGCTTGTTGACCTTATTGCTCATGTAGCTTAATTCTAAACAAATCAAAAAACAGTGATCGCTCCAGAAGACAAGTGGTTTTTGAAATTAGCATAATGTTTAACTAAATTTTTACTAATAAAGCCTACTGGTTGAGACTAAAGTTTGAAAACTTCTATGAAGTAGTGCAAAATAATAAAAAATTTCACGACAAGCTGCGAGAAAAAATTATATTTTACAAACAGTTAGTGTTTTTCATCACGCATATTCTATTAAACGTGACCAGTTCTGATTGAAATACGAGGTATTTCATCATTATATGAAATAAGGCTAGGTGCGTAGTTACTGCTTAGCCGTCATCAATGCGGACTTACACTGCTCGCGCTTCCAAACTATCATTGTATCATTGGTGATACTCCAACTCATCTTTTTAGTCTCAGTAACATGTAAAGTTGCACTGCGTAGCTTGCTCAAAATGTTTGAATACATGGTTCACGCAAGGATTGTTTTTTTTTATTTCTAGAAACGAACATATAATAGATATAATGTTGTCATAGATGGATATAAATTTTTTTGGTACCCAAACTACAATCAACTTTTTTAAAACAGTTCTTGAAGTATCGGCAAAACTTTCTGCAAAACCGCTATTGAGCAGCTGATAAGAAAAACCGAGCAATCGCATAATGCAATTCTGCCTTTTGATAGAAAATTTTTTGAAGTCCAGGAAGGTCTGCAAAATAGAGAAACGGAAGTTTAAATAATTTGGTTAAATGTTTGTCAGTTTAACAGCTACCGAAAAACTAACACATAGTAAGCTGTATACGGCGGAATATTCTACTAGCAGCCTTAGAAAAGCTCAAAACATTTAGAATTGTTCAGTGCTATGCACTGAAGTTGCTGATTTCTTGATGCAAGCCTTTTAAAAATTAGACAAACGGCGCTTCTTCTTACTTCAACTAGCTCCCATTTAAAGTTATCGGCAGTTCTAATAAAATCGGCTTATGCAGTCATTATGGTTTAAAACCTAATTGTTCATTAAATTTTCGTTTGTTAGGTTTTATTTTTTTGAATTACAAATAGTTGTTCACTTGCTCTTTCACATGACTTTGAAATCTTTTGCTTGCTGACTGATGTCGATCATCTAATGTCTTCTCCTCATGACTCGCGCAATAAGAGCTTTATGTAGCGGTTTTTCAGTAGTTTGAAAATTGCTTTGAACAAAAGCTATCACGACTTTCAAAGAGAAGAAAGCCCGATTATTTTATCTTAATACAAAAATCTAGTACAAATAGGTAGAACGCCAACTTTACTGTTTTAAAGACCCAGTTTATTTTTCCGCGCTCAGTTTACTATTTCACACCTGTTTTTATTTTGATAATTAAGAAAAATCAATTTCTAATTGAGCAATGAATGTAAAATACATAGTCAAGTGTTTAGTTCTAACCAAGCTACTCATGAAGAAGTTTTCTAGCGCTGCGAGGATAGAGCCCAACATTATCTAAAGCGAATACGATAGAACTTCTTGTAAAATTTGAACCAGTTTACAATTGTTTTGCACCTAACAGGCAGACCAACTTTAAATGGCAAATAATTTAGGTTGTTTAAACGACCAAAATATTCCAAAGCAATTGAACTGATCTAGGCCAACAAAGTTTTACTACTAAAGCTGGATTTTTATGCAAAGCAGCACCTAATTTTTCAGTAAAGCATATCTTTAACAAATATATTGTAATATTTTCATTAATTTCAACTACTAATTGTAGCAAGAGCTTGGAGAAGAAGCCAGAAACCCCATAATGATAAACAGATTGCCAAAAATTATGACTGAAAAGTGCAGAACTAGGTGCCATTATTCTAAAAATAAAGAGGGCATTCTAGGATAAAAAACCATAATCACTTGTTTCAAAATAATTGTATAAATATATAATCCCGAAAAGATCATTACGTTCTAGCTGCTGAGGAAGTAAAAGAACGTATCTAGATATACAAAAAATTTAAAAAAGCTTAGTAAATAGTTGATCTTGAGATTAATTCATCACAAAAAACAAAATTGGGTTTATATGTACCGTTCTAATATGCAAAAATTTTGACCGCTTCATGTTATAAGTGAATATGGTTATCAAAAAAACTTGACTTGAACTTGAGATTATACTTTGCACTTGACAAAGTGTTTCCTCCAAAAATTATTTCACGAAAATCGTAGTGTAGACCCGATTTGTGTCATAAATCATTCAGTCAAACATACATTGCCTGGCTTTACAAGAAGGATTTAACAAAAATGACTGTAATTGGTGCTCTTTAACGACTTCAAAATTAGATTTGATGAAATTAATAAAGATCGTTAGGTGAAAAAGAAATTTTTGAGTAGTTATTTCAAAAGTTACCAAAAGTCGATAAGCAAAAGAAAATTTTGAATGGAACTTTATGAAGCGGTTAGTTTAGAAGAATTTTATGTATTTGAAGAAAGATATCTGTAAAAACTGGTAAGCATTTCATAAGCACAGAATAAAAAACACCAAAAACGAAAGAAGTTTGAAAAAGTCTCTTTTGCGACAATTTCAAACAGTAGTCTACAGAAGATACCATTGCGAAGTTACTACCTTGGAACTGTGAGTCAAAACCGCTCCTTTTTCATAAACGTTTTTTCCAATCTAGCCGAGTCATAAAAATTCCACCGTGATTACCCATTCAAAAAGCAGTAATAGATGAAAAACTTTAAAAAATTAATTACAGTAATGATAGACAGCAATTGCTGGTCTTTGAAACAAAATGTTCTTCACCAGCTATGATTTGTTTCAATTTACTAAATATTATACCTTCGTACCAAGTAAGTGTTAACTTAAATAAAGGTTCAGATGTTTGCTTATAGTAAGGCATTCAAGACAACAACCATATGTATGTGGTTGAAAAAACTTTTTTTTTGCTAAAAATAAGAACTTTTTCCTGAAATAAATTTTATCAAGAAATTGTTGTGAACAGTAAACAAAAATTTAATTTCTATTTAAAAATTAGGTAAAATAATTTGTTTAAAAAAATAGAATAATAAGCAATAGGTTAATACATCAACATTTAGTAATATATTTTTGCAGTTTTTGATTTTTATTTCTGCAGTTGTCTTTTAAACTTTTTATGTTCTATGTGTTACCAGCTGTCAGCTTCCATTTATTATATAAACTCAAAAATGTATTTGTATCTGTTAGATGACACTTAAATAATAAAAGAATTTTCAAAAGTAACGTATTAACGACAAATGTACGTGAAATTTTAAAAAAAATTAATTTTGAGAGTAATATATGATATGAGTCTTACCTTGATATGATGTGAAAAAATTAGGATATGCCATACAAAAGGTACTGTTTGTATAAGTGGTTGGTCTCTAAAACCATAAAATTGTAAATCTTTTTACATCTACAGGTATTATAAACTTGTTAATTATCTCAATCATCATTGTTCTGATTTCTTTACTTTTTTCTACCTCTTTTATTTCTTCTATAATAAAAAATAATTGGTTGCACTTTGCAGTCTACTCAAAGTTAACAACTGTCAAAAACAGTTTAGATGACCAGTCAACGTCATTAGAGTATCAAACCAATCAATAGAAGCAATAGTTAAAAAGTTAGTAGCCTTTTTTACTGTTAAAATAAATTTTAGACAATTTAGGAGGAGGAAAAAATAATACTTTGAAACAAAAATGTGGACAGCTAAGTAACCGATAAACTTTGGGTGACTATCAAAGCACAACTCGTTAGTTGCTGACAGTCATCCAACAACAACAGGAGCAAAAAATAACAGTTACTAACGCTTCTTTGGTGATGTGAAGTTTCTGTGTGCCATTCTTAGTGTTGATTAACATCAAGTTAACGACTCCGGTTCCGTTCAACGGTTTCCGTACTCGTCCAGTAACGATTAGCACTCGTCCCGGCAATAAATAAGGCACTTTCACATGATAGCTATTATATATGTTCTCTACGTCATCAGAAAACTTCAAGTACTGTAAAATTTGATAAAACTTTTACGAATGCAATTGCATACTTTTTTTTTTATCATTTAAACTTTGGTCAATATTGTTAAATTTATTTGATATGAATAGATTGATTTCTGAAAAATTTGCCTCTGTTAGCACCACTTTTTTCTGCCTATTTCAATTTGTTTATTATCACATCTATAAGCATTTAAAAAATTCTTACAAAATTCTTACAATGCCAATAAAAATAAAAATATAAAATTGTTTTTTAAAGTTCTAAATTCTTTGTTCAAAGTCGTTCAGAAAAAAACAGCAACAACAAATGTTTAATGTGCTAAAACCGTAATGATATTTAGCAGAGTCTTACTGGATAGTGCACCACTGATAGAATCCTACTTCTCGGTAACAACGACAGCCATCGAAAATTATCCAACCTCTGTAGTTTTTTAGTTTATTTATTTCTTCCATTTATTCTAAACTTTCTAAATTTTCTTTCAGTTGCACTTTCTTAATAGCTTTGTGGAACGTTCTATTGAAATCAATTTTAATAATCATTGAGAATTTAAAGCATTTCAAACAAAAAAAAAAAGAAAATTTTGGTTTCTTTTTTGCTGTTGTAGCACATCAAGTTTTTGTTCTGTTAAACAGCTGATATCACGTGTAAGCGAGACATGCCGTAGAAAGTTGATAAGTAGGAAAATGAAGTTTAACTAATATTACGTTATAATATTTTTGGTAAGTCATTTTTCTGATTTCTGAACAAAGATTTGCTGTTATTACAAATTTACTAATTCGCATGTTCAGCAATACTAAGAACTGTTTAAACCACTTTATTTTTGATCCTTTTGAGAATTATGGATTTATTTATTCTGATGTTCCAAACGTCGGCTAAAGAAATTTCTGATTTACAAATTGTTGATTTATCATTTTTGACTAAACTATTAACGAAACTATAATCACTCTGTCTCTTCTTTTTGTTTTTTTTTACCGTTTTATTAGTAACCTGTTAAATATACGACTGTTATTTAAACCAACACTGGTATTTTAAACTGTTTACTTTTTATACTTCCTCAATTCCGCA